TAAATTAGCCCTCTAATTAATTTAATTGATTTAATTTGATTAATTAATTATTTTGGATCCAGTTTAGACGACAATTATTGCTAGACTCTTAAAACATATATGCATATAATATTAGATATTCTATAGGATTGCATTTATATGATAAATGTTTCATTAGTGAATAATTATGGACTCGACCATGTAGATGTGTTGAATGGTTAATTTTATTCTTGTTGTTTTATGAACATGCAAGCTGTTAATTTATTTTGGACCCGCGAGTCAATTATTATTGTTAGTATTATGGGGCATGCACGTCCAATGTTATTCAGACATGCGTGCCAACTAGTATAAGATACAGGTTGTGACTGGACTGATTGAAGATGCAAGACGAAAAGGAAACCATGAAGATGGTGCATTGATACTAATTCAATGCAATACACATAGGAATTGACCAACTAGTCTTCCTTATAGCTCGAAAAGACTAGATAGAATTAATCAATAATCATCCACTCGTGTATGTATATTTATTTGCATGTTTGATGCTCAATGAAATATGTNATTATAGTGAAAAATGAGAGTTCTAAATTGATCTCAACTTGTTGAGTACACTCAAAGTTGGTCTATTAAGGATATGTTTGATAATATGAAATATTAGATATTTTTTAATGATGAGTTTGACTTAACTAAAATTTATTTTTTGTTGAGTACACTCAATGAAATAAATTTCAGAGACATGTTAAGCTAACGCATAAGATGTGTGAAGACAAATAGTTGTGAGCTTAATGATTTGGGAGTTGTATGAGATACAATTGAGAATAGTATTTACCTAAATATTTTATTAAGGCTTGTTGAATACACTCAATTTTTTAATATAATAAATGAGATCCCAACTCATGGATTCCATAAATTTATGTGAGTTGGTCATAAATTTTAATTAAACAGTGGGAGTATAATTAATTTAATAAAAGATCATATTAAATTAATTAATACATTCTATAAATTATTCTTTTACTTTTTGTCATTTACATTTATTGAATTGTGAGTAATCATATGTATTTGAGAGGTATACTGGATGCCACAACCAAACCAAATTTTCTTAATGGCATCTCAATTTGAAAATTGTTCTAAAGTATGAGAAAATTGGTTATGTCCTTGAGTAGCCTTTCCAGAAACGCTTGTTGATGACTCGACAAAGGAAAAAGTGGCTAACATAATAAACACGGCGATGACGATTTTACGCAACATATATGATGCTTGCGACTATGTCACCTGAGTTACAAAGACAATATAAAAGTATAGATGCTAATACGTGATTTTTCATCTCAAGGTGTTGAATGATGAATAATCACGTGTGTAAGATATGAGATTTCCTAACAACTATACCAGTGCTTAATGGTAGAAAAATCTTCAGCCAGTGCTCTTGCACTAAAGATGTTGACTACTTTAAGAAGTTGTTTCAATTGAGTTTAGTCATGAACTAAGTATAGATTTGGTTTTGCAATCTCTGTCGGAGAGTTAATCATAACTAATTATGAATTTAAGTACTTATTTAAGCTTACGTGTGAATAAGAGTTGCTGAACATGCTTAAAACTGTTAAGCTCTATATCTATGTTTGTAGGGGACAAATATTAGTTATAGATTCATTTAGGAAAGTCTATAGGATGCTTTAGGAAAGCAAATAAGATGTGTAAGACAGTTAAAGCGAATAAGGATAATATCGAATCTAATTACCCTTATTATCATTTTGGAATGATAGGTCATTGGAAAGGAAACTGCAAGGCTATGTCTATTTCTTTAACTTCTAGGGTATTAGATACCATATATGGATCTCATATTTATATAAATAAGTAAAAACTAAATAGAAGTAGATCATTGTAGAAGGAACAAATTGATCTACACGTTGAAAATGAGCAAATGTTATTGCATTACCTGTATGTACATATTTCATACCATTGCCTTTAGGCTTAGTATTAGAATTAGAGAAATGTTACTTTGTACATATCATTACCAGAGCATTAAATATTTGGACATGAATTATTTTAATGAAAAGGACAATTGTTGTTCATTTTATCATGATAAGATCTTA